GGCTCAGCAGGGCATCAAACGCCGTCTGCCGAGCCCTCGGAGGTGTCGAGCTGCTGCAAGGAGAGCTGAACTGCGCCTGAAAGCTGAATTCCCTCCCTGACGGCGATGAGGGTGGAGTGGCCCTTTCCCTGCTCTCCATCCTTTCCTGCGGGTAGGTGCCCCGGTGGGAAGCGGAGAGGGGATGGTGCAGGACTCTGGGCCAGCACAGCTCTCCTGGTTGTCCCGTCCCACGCGGTGTCAAAGGGACGCCTGGACACGGAGATGCTCTGTGATGATGAGAGGAGGTTCGGAGACCTGCGCCGGCCGTGAAGCTAACACCTAAAGCATCTAACCGCCGTAAAGGGAAATGCACGTGACTCCTCTGTGCGTGAAACCTGGTTTTGCTCGGAGGCGGTGGCTGAGCCCCCTCTGCAGCGCTGCCCTTGTGCCCTGTCCCGGGGACGCTTGTGTAATTCGGGGATCCGGTTACTGCCCACTGCGGTGCCCGGGCTGCTGGGCTCGGCTGCTGCCCCGGTGCCGGAGCCCGCTGTGCCGGTGAGAGCGGGCAGGTAGTGCAATGCTTCCCGTTGAAATAATGAAGAGTTTGATCTCCAAGGAGTGCTGCCTTGGAAGGGGGACAGGAGATAGCAGGGATGGAAAAGCTGAACTGAGAGCAGCGGTGGGCTGTCGGGGGTTTCCAGCAGGTTGTCCATCTGCTGCCATCTCCCCTCTGCAAAGGGTTAACTCTGGTTGTGCTCCGCATTACTGGGGTTACAGAATCTCGTACTTCTGGAGCTGCTCGGAAGCCAGTGGGAGGGGAGAGTGTCCCCAGGCCGGTACCCTCAGCTGGGGTGGGGTGGGAACAGTTCACCCTTGCTGAACCTCAGGGAAACATGAGGTGCTTTTCCCATCCCAGCCTCCTCGTTGCAAGCCAAGAAATACAAATCTTGTTGCAGCCACAGGCTGCCCTGGATACCGGAGCTAATTTAGGGACCTGGACCGTGTTGCTATACAGCCCCAAATATGTTCGATGTGGAGTTCCCGTGACCGGAGCAATGCCTGTCACACCAGGACATCACCCACCCGTGGTTTCACTGCTGGCTGTGGCTCAGGAGCAGAGGAGGGAGCAGGAGGGAAAGTCATCGGCTGTGGGAGCTGTCGGCTCCTGCCTGAAGAGGAGAAACTGGTGAGAAACGGGTGGAAGTTCTGCCCTCGCCCTGCCTGGACCAGGACCAGACGGTGCTTTCCCACCCCTGTGCCGTGTTCGGCACATCCCCGGCTGCCCGGGGCGCAGGGAGCCGGTGCTCCGTGCTGAGGGCGGGATGGGGGTTGTGTGGGTACGGTGGGTGATGCCAGGCTGGTGGGTTGCTTCTTCTGTGGTTTGGGCATCGCCACATCCCCTCCCGCATCCCCCTGCAGCGGTAATGGCCTTCCCCACGCAGCCTCATTGCGTCTGGCCTTCAGCTGTCTGTCACACCGCTGTCACCTGCCACTGGGAACATTTCCTAAATAGACCAAATCGTTCCCTTAATGAGACTTAATCTGCTCCTCTGCCAGCGGGGCGAGCGGGATCTCCATCCCGCGGCTGGCGGGGCAGCTGGAACTGTTTGAGCGCGCGGGGGCAGCTGTTTGCTCGCCGGCGGGTGCCTGGGTACAACAGCGAACGTCAGGGCTGTGCTGGTACAGGTAATGGTGACCGCTGCCTCCTGGTTCATTAGAAGTACAATTAAGCTCCTCTAAAAGCGCTCTGAGTGACCTCTGAAAATTGGGTATATGTTCCTGTACATCTCCTGTTTGTCTCGCGCAGAATGATGTTAGCCGTCAGCTTCCTCCTGTTCCATTTTCCCCGCGTGTAATTACAAATTGTTTTTTTTCTCTTCAGCTTCCTGGCCCCCCGCGCCAGGCTCTTCGGAGCAGAGCTGCGAACAGCCAAGCTTTCCTCCAGGCCCCTTCCCTGCCTGCGTGGCTCTGTCGCTCTGCTTGCTTACGGCTTCGGCAGGAGCCGGTTTTTAGGGTAATGAAGCAATAGAGGAGCAAGGAGGGGCTGTCCAACCCCCTGCCCTGTTTTGCTTTCACCCCGAGCCTCTCGGTGCGATGGATGTCAAAGGGTTGTGCAAAGGGTGGCTTGGCCACTTTGGTCTTCACTGAGCTTCCAGATGTGGGGTGGCTCCTGGCACCGAACCCAAACCCACCCTGTCATGGGTTTCCTCTGCCTCGGGAAGCAGGAGAGCCGAGGAGGTGGGAGAGGAGCGACCAAAACCCACGTGAGGGGGTTACGGGTGGGTGGCTGCAGTACACATCCTATTTGTCCCTTTCCCCACGGCAAAGGGCACACGCTGTGCCAGGCAGCGATGCAAATTGCCGTTACTCTGCCAGGGCTCCGGCGAGCGCCGTCAGCCAGTGTTTCGTTTATAAGCAGGCAGGGTGCGTCTTTTGGGGCCGCAGCAAGCGTTAACCCGTGTTCCTGTGAAACCCCCCCTGTGGCAGAGGGGTCCTTGCCGTGCGCTGGGCACTGTTTTGGGTCTTGCCAGGCCAGCGAAGCATCCCAGGGGCTGACGCTCCTCCGCTTGCCGGCTGGGCACCCTCCTTTGCCGAGCAGCCCCGGGAGCTCGACTGGGAGGGGGCAGAGGGGCAAGAAGTACGTTTCTGTCTCTGTTTTGGTAAAATGACCAAACCCGCTGTTTCCTGCCGATGCACACGGGGGGGGGGGATGCCTTTCCACGTGCCCCCCCTCGCTGCCGCTTTGAGGTGCAGACGTGCTCCGGGGCGTTTTGCCAAGCCCGACCCCAAGAGTTGCCGGGGACAGGAAGGAAAATGAACTGCGCTCAAGATAGACACGTTTGTTGCTCTATATTTAGGAGTATAATAATTAAGGCTGGTTGTTTATCCTGACAAACATGGTAATTAATAGTCTGTGGCAGACGAGCAAATCCTTCCTGCACCTGGGAACTGAGTTGTCTCTGGGAAGGGCGAGGGCCTCATTAAAGAGCTGCTGCTGCTTGTGAGAAAAGCTGCTATTTAGGGAACATCTGGCTGTTCGCTTCGTCCCCTCCCCAGGTGTGCCTGGCTGCGTGCTGGTGGCCTCGGAAGCCACGGTGAGGGTGCTTCTGTGCCCAGCCCGTGCGTAAGGGCACAGGGCAGGAGGGTCCTGCTGGTCCCGGGGAGCAGAAGGCTGATGAGCGGGGGGCGGTGGGTGGGCAGCGCTGCCAGGGGGCTATGAAGGGGAGAGTGGGGATGCTTGGTGGCACCCAGGGGTGCAGTGGTGTAGGTACCAGCGTGCAGAAGCTTGCTTATAAATGCAGTAGGAAGTCTTGCTGGCTGGTGGCACAGGCTGGCTGGGCACTGGGGAGGCATCTCGGAGGGCAGGGAGACCACAGGCAGCCGGGATAAGCTTTTACTGGCCTTAGAGAGGAGGGCAAGGAGGTGATGAGGATGGGTGGCTCTGCGCTCTTCCCACTAGATGGGGATGGAGGCATTGTACAGAGCACGCCGGAGCTTGCCACGCTGCCGCCCACAGAGAGCACCCACGCTCGGCCTTCGCCCTTGCGTCTTCCCCGAGTGGGCACCGTGCCAGCGGGGTGTCCTGGCCCGGCTCTGCTGGGGGGCTCGGAGCTGATGGGGTCTCGCTTCTCTCGCAGATGCTGCAGGACTGCCCGAAGGCCCGCAGGGAAGTGGAGCTGCACTGGAGGGCATCGCAGTGCGCGCACATCGTCCGCATCATGGACGTCTACGAGAACCTCTACCAGGGGAGGAAG